GGAAAAAGGGTTTATATATCTGTGGAATGACCAGGGTGGGACAAAGAACTCTTGTCTGAGCTAGGTGTGAACGTTTCAACTGACCACCTTGATTAGCATTTGATGGCCTGTCAGTTGTTTGGTGTGGCTTGTTAGTGCCTGGGGCAATCTTTTGTTGAGAGGTGATTATCTGTCCCTGATTGTTTCCTTTCTGTTGTTTTGCTGTTGTAATTTTAGAGTTTTTTTTTAATACTGGTAGCCAGATTTTGTTCATTTTCATGGTTTCCTCCTTTCTGTTGAAATTGTTCACATGCTTGTGGATTTCAATGACTTCTCTGTGTAGTCATTTTAGATCTCACAACCTCATAGATGTGGGTGAAACATCGGGAGACAATGCTTCTGGAGCATGTCCATACAGCCCGGAAGACTCACAGCAACCCAGTGATTCCAGCCACAAAAAGTGTGAGCCCCACATATAATATATTCAGTCCTGAACTGCTTAATATGCAAAATTCAGTAGAATCATAGTGTCTGAATCCTGAATCCTCCTTAAAAATGATCAGAATTGCACCTGAGATTTCAAAAGTGGCACAGCAGTTGACCTTCCGCTCTGTCTATGAGCAATTCCATGCATTTCCCATAGCAAATAAATAGTATTTGGGGCTGTATTACTTAGGCTTTGTCTATCTATCTATCTATCTATCTATCTATCTATCTATCTATCTATCTATCTGTGTGTGTATGTGTGTGTGTGTGTATATATATATGCATTTCATGTTATGGTTTTATTTTAAGCTGTAATACCTTGGAAAGTTATGACCCATGTTTGAAATTTCTGGCAAAGGACAGGTCTGAGGGATCTGATTGACATTAAGGACTGGCTGTTGCAGCTTCTTGTGCATAGTCCTAGAAACAGCTTTACTATTCATTTATGCATTTTCTGTGCCGAAAGCCCCGTATAAGAACCGTATAAGAACCCTTTTGCCTCAGGGGAGCTTTGCTTTTTACAGGCAACTAAGGCAAGAGACCTGAAATAATTGTTGTGAAACTTGACTTCTATTCAGCATTTTCACTTGGAGTATTATCCCAGTTTTTAGACTCAGCAGGGAGAGTGAGAAAAGGGATTGAGTTGCTGTGAGTTTTCCGGGCTGTGTGGCTATGTTCCAGAAGCATTCCCTCCTGAAATTTCGCCCACATCTATGGCAGGCATCCTCAGAGGTTGTGAAGTTTGTTGGAAACTAGGCAAGTGAAGTTTATATACCCGTGGAATGATGTCAGGGGTGGGAGAAAAAACTGTCTGCTTGAGGCAATTATGAATATTGCAATAGATGACCTTGATTAGGATTGAATGGCCTTGCAGATGCAAAGCCTGGCTGCTTCCTTCCTGAGGGAATCCTTTGTTGGGAGCTGTTTGCTGGTCTTGGTTGTATATTGACGACGTTTATTAGCATTGAATGGCCTTGCAGATGCAAAGCCTGGCTGCTTCCTTCCTGAGGGAATCCTTTGTTGGGAGGTGTTTGCTGGCCCTGGTTGATTCCTGTCTGGAATTCCCCTGTTTTTTTTTAGTATTGCTCTTTATTTACTGTCCTGACCACTCTTAACAACCACCATGTCATACTATACATAGAAGCCATTCAAATCCACAAACACGTGGGCAATTTCAACAGAAAGGAGGAAACCATGAAAAGGAACAAAATCTGGCTAGCAGTATTTTTAAAAAACTCCAAAATCAGGACAGTGAACAAAGAACAACACTCCAAAAACAGTGGAATTCCAGACAGGAAACAATCAGGGCCAGCTAACATCCAGGCAGCAACCAGCTAGGTTTTGAAGTTTCAAGGCCATTAAATGCTAATCAAGGTGGCCAATTGCAACATTCCCACTTGCCTCAAACAGACAAGAGTTCTTTCTCCTTGCAGATGCAAAGCCTGGCTGCTACCTGCCTGGAGGAATCCTTTGTTGGGAGCTGTTTGCTGGCCCTGGTTGTTCCTTGTCTGGAACCCCCCCCCCCCTTTTAAGTGTTGTTCTTTATTTACTGACCTGACCACCCTAACAACCATCCTATACATAGAAGCCATTCAAATCCACAGGCACGTGGGCAGTTTCAACACAAAAGAGGAAACCACAAAATGGAATAAAATCTGGCTACCAGTATTTAAAAAACCTCTAAAATCAGGACAGTAAAGAAAAAGCAACACTCTGAAAACAGGGGAATTCCACATGGGAAACAATCAGGGCCAGCTAACACCCAGGCAGCAACCAGCCAGGCTTTGAAACTGCAAGGTCATTAAATGCTAACCAAGGTGGCCAGTTGCAACATTCGCACTTGCCTCAAACAGACAAGAGTTCTTTCTCCCACCCTGGACATTATTCCACAGGTATATAAACCCCACTTGCCACATCCCGGAAAACTCACAACAACCCACTGGCCTTGTTTCCAACAGACCTCACCACCTCTGAGGATTTTTTTTTTTTTTTTTGGTCGTGTCAGGAGCGACCTTAGAATCTGCAAGTCGCTTTTGGTGTGAGAGAATTGGCCATCTTCAAGGACATTGCCCAGGGGACGCCTGGATGATTTGATGTTTTGTCATCCTTGTGGGAGGCTTCTCTCATGTCCCCGCATGGGGAGCTGGAGCTGATAGAGGGAGCTCACCCGCCTCTCCCCGGATTCGAACCTGCGACCCGTCGGTCTTCAGTCCTGCCGGCACAGGGGTTTAACCCACTGCGCCACTGGGGGCTCCATCTCTGAGGATGCCTGCCATAGATGTGGGTAAAACATCAGGAGAGAAAGCTACTGAACATAATAATAATTATTATTTATTTATTTATTTATACCCCACCACCATCTCCCCAAGGGGCCTTGGGGCGGCTTACATGAGGCCAAGCCCAACAACACATCAGTAAAAACAAAACAGCAAGCAAATAAAACAGTACAATTAATATAACTCACATATAAACAATAACACAGAGAATTTAAAACCTCATGGCCAGATAGCCCAGAACATTCACAACAACCCAGTGATTCTGGCCATGAAAGCCTTTGACAACCAAAAGAGGGATTGGTTTTACTTGAATTATTACTTTTCACTCTGGAATTCCTTCTTGACTCCCACCCACCTGAGATTTAAAAATGTCCTATAATAGCAGCTTTAGAAAGATCAACATTAAACTTGTAGGCTGAGCTTGTTGTCCATTTTGGGACAACTTTGGTGCAGTTGTCACCTTGGTACCTCCACTTGCAAAAATTGCACTTCTTCCTTGCTCTGTTGTGTAGTTAGGAAGACAAAACATGCAAAACCAAAAGTTAGCTGGAAATTGAAAATTGGGCTTTATTGAGGGGCTCTTTATTTATTTTTTGCCATTTATCTTCATTTATGCCCTCTAAGCTACAGCAGCTGATGTCTATATAACACATACATTGATGTGTAGTCTTGTATAGGGAAAGAGCACTCATCACTCTTCGGTGGCATGGCTCACCTGGACTCCTGTGCTGAGCGTTGTGGGTTTTCGTTCCTCTCATTCTCCTACCCAAATTCAGATCAGAGAGACTGGATCTTGTGGCCAGAATGTCATAATCCATATACAAAATATTGGAAAACTTTAGATCAGGGGTCTGGATACGGCCCTCCAAGGTCATTTACCCGGCCCTCGCTCAGGGTCAACCTAAGTCTGAAATGACTTGAAAGCACACAACAACAACAACAATCCTATCTCATCAGGCAAAAGCAGGCCCACACTTCCCATTGAAATATTAATAAGTTTGTATTTGTTAGAATTGTTCTTCATTTTAATTATTGTATTGTTTTTAAGTGTTGTTTTTTTGCACTACAAATAAGATATGTGCAGTGTGCATAGGAATTCATATTTTTACAAATTATAATACGGCCCTCCAACAGATTGAGGAACTATGATATGGCCCTCTGCTTAAAAAGTTTGAGGATCCCTGCTTTAGATAATCCCAAGATTTTCAGAAGTGCAGAAGTCTCTGGATTCAAAGCATCCAATGACTTGGAAATATTCCCCCCTCCAAAAAAAATCCAAAAAGTCTTGATGTTGCAATTATATTAAATTGCAATATCAAGGCTTTTTGGATTATTTTGGGGGAAAATATTTCCAATCTGTCGGATGCTTCGAATCCAGAGACTTTTGTCCTTCTGGATTTTCAGAAGTACAGAAACCATTTTACTAGGTTGTTGTATATATTGGGACTTGGGCGTCCGTAGGTTTTGATATCATGGAGCCAAAACACAGTGCATACAAAGACCCAGTGTAACTAGAGAGAAAAATAGAATGGGGGGAAAGCCACAGATACCCATATAACCCATTGAAGACTAAGAATAATTTGGCACAGGATGTTTGCTGAAAAAAGAAACTGGAAATGGGATGGAATGCTTTTGCATGGAGGACTCTTGACTGCAATATTTTGCTAGTGGCTTTTGAGAGAGTTGGTCTATTCTCATAGACATAAACATCAGGACCAGGAGGCTGTGGCCTCTCTTGCCAGGAATGACCTGCAAGGAACTGAGTAATTTGGGGGAGATAGATGTTAAAGAGATAGATGTAAAAAGATAGATGTAAAAAGATAGATGTAAACAGGTCACGAAGAGTCGGAAACGACTGAACGAATGAACAACAACAACAAAAGATGTTAAAGGTAGAGCTTGCTGTTGCAAGACAGACCCGTTAAATCACCCCTCCTAATACTCCCAAGTAGTATCACTACTTGAAGACTCCATCACAACACTTGTATGTTCAGAAGCACTCATGTGTTACTGACCTCTTCAGATTGTAAACAGTGCTGATGCATAAATCTAGAACATGTGGAGCCCATCTCCGAGATTTAAGTATGGCATTCTCCCCGTCAGTAAGTCCAAGGAAGGTGACACCACATTGTTCTTCAGAAAGGAAAGTGCTGTAAATCAGACTCTCTTAAAGTGATTGCTCCTTTGGAACTTTGGTCTTCTTGACTCAGTCACAACCCCTCATTCTGACCCTGTCACAAACCCCTTCATTCAATCCTGTTAGAGTTTGGTGCACACTGTGTCATCTTCACGCACAGGCTTGATCATGGCAACCTTCCCGTCCATTTCCATGTTGGATTTGCTGAATTCCCCCTGGATGTCGGCGATCGACTTCCCCTTTGTCTCTGGGAGGAAGCAGAAGATGACTCCCCAGGCGATCACGATGAAGACCATGAAAACCAGGAAGCAGAAGGTGCCCAGGTAGAGTGCCGCGTATGGGAAAAGCATCCCAAGCAAATATATTCCCAGCCAGTGGAGAGTCATGGAGATGACGAGCGCAGCCGGCCTGGACGACGTGGTGAAGAGTTCGACGATGACCGGCATTGTTGTCCCAGCAGGACCCATGCCGTAGACCACGATGAAGAGGAAAACGAGGCCAGTGCTGCAGTATGGGATCCAGAAGGCCTTGTCTTGGAGAGAGAGGGCCGTGGTTAGGAGTGCCAGGACCAGGATCATGGAGCCGTATCCCCAGAGCATCAGCTTTCTCCTGCCGAAATGCTCAATGAGGATGAAGCAGAAGATGGTGGAACAGAGCTCGCAGGCCCCAGTCCCAATGGTCACGTAGGGGATGAGTTCTTGCTTGAACCCGGCGGTGCTGAACACTTCGGAGGCATAGAAGTAGACGGCCGCAATGCCGCTTAGGGACAGCGCAGCCCCAATGACGACCAGCAGGTAGAGCTGGCAGCGCATGGACTTCTCTTTCAGAAGCTCCCAGACCGTCATGATCTTGGCTGCTTTCATGGATGTCTGCTCCTTCAGCATGTCATCTACTTCTGCTTTGTGGTCCCCTTCACCCCACAGCCATTTCAGGGCTTTCAAGCAGCCTTCTAAGTCTCTCTTCTGGATCAAAAGGTAAGGTGGAGACTCTGGGAAAAACGGGGTGATCACCAAGATCCCCAGGCCTAAAGCTCCGTTGATGGACAGCAGGAGTGGCCAGAGAGACTCACTCCCCAGAAGTTCATGCTGCCCCACCACTTGCCCTAGGAACTTCCCCAAAGTTGCCAGAACCGCAAGAGAAACGTTGATGAAACCCCGGAGGTGCTTTGGGGAAATTTCTGTGAGGAATTGACCTTGGATGCAGCAGCCGAGACCCGCGCTGAAACCGTACAGGACCCGTCCGAGCAGAATCATCTCAAAGGACTTGGCTATTTTGCTGGCGCCCACAGCCGCCGCCGCTGCCATCATGACCACGCTGTTGAATATGAGGCATTTCTTCTTCCCAAATTTTGCAGGCAGATATCCTGAAAGCCAGCATCCTATCAGCCCTCCAATGCTGAGGGTCGACACAATGAGCGACCAGAGGAGCAGGAGAGTCTCTTCTTCGATGGGGACGTTGTACCTCTCCAGCCAGGTCTCGTTGATGAACGCCTTGACGTATGGCGCGGTGAAGTTGATTGCGGAGACTTGGAATCCAAAAAGGAAGGTCCCTCCCAAGCCCGCAACGATGGCCATTAGAAGGACCCTCCGATACAAGACCAGGTTTGAGCAGAAGTTGGCCATCTTCCGTCTCGGAGCCCTTGAAGGTGTTCTCTTGGGACAGTCGGTTCCTTTTGGAGCAGCAAGCCAACCTCATTCCTTCTCTTGACTAAACCATGTCATGAAGAGAGGATCCGGATTGATGCAGGGAGCTGGCAAGATTGCATGTGACTTTGAACTCTTTGGGTGCCATGAACTCTTGCCTGTTTTGGTTGATGAGTTCACTCCCTCTTGCAAAAGAATATCTCCTCCGCGCAGGAGTCCTATTTGGTTTGATTAACCCCTCCTGACATTCCCTTTGAATCAATCAGTGTTCTCATCGTCACCATGACGTTTGCTCTTTCCCTCTTTTGGTTTGGCCTTTCTTCACTTGTGCTAACTTTGCCCACTCTTTTCGCCAAATTATAAGATCACGAGGATCATAATAGTTCATATCTGTTAGTTACAGAGACAGTTTGCTTTTTCTCAAAACATGAAATTGGAACCAAAACGTTTTATTACCTTTAAATTGGTCTTCTGAAGCCTATAAAAGCTTTGCCAGATCAATTTTGGATATTATAGTTTATAGCCAGCTTCACATACTGAGCCCATAAGTTTCTTTCTGTAAGTTTCATGTTTAGGTGGAAATTGCACACAGGACTGTACATATAATCAGTAAGTCCAATGGGAAAATAGGATGTTCTACAACTGGAATTATGCAGGCTCCATCTACACTGCCATTATAAGTTTCTTGCCTACCTTGCTTTGGATTAGAAACAAATCAATTTTAGCCTTCCTTGAATATTGTGAGTTAGGCATTTCAGTCATAACAATGGCTGGGGCAACTGGCCCCTTTCAGCATATGCACGGATTACTCCAGAATCCATAAGTTTGGCCTCAAACCTGCCCCTGACTTACACATGGGCATATATGGTAATTAGATAAGGCATAAGGCAACTTACACATGGGCATATATGGTAATTAGATAGCTTAAGAAGTGCGGAGGTGTAAAATTCTCTAGATCACCTGTTGCATTCATTTCCCTCAGTAAAGCTGCTTTTATAGTAGTTGTGTAAGGATATTTGATATCTATAGCAGAGTGCTGTGTAACCTGTACTATTTGCATGCTACATGGACCAGGCTGTGACACAGCTAGTTAGTAGCCAGCTGCATTAAATCACTAGTGACCGAGAGGTCATGAGTTCGAAGCCAGTAAGTAATTTAGCTACCACTTTATGTGGGGAGGCTAATTTAGCTAATTTATGACACCATAACCTTCCAGCAGCGTTCAGAAGAATGAAGAAGAAGCAGCTCCCCCTGGTGGCCGAAATCAAGCATACCCTCATGAAGCTGGAATGTTAAATTGCCTCTGTGTCTGTCTATAGATGTTGTATGTCTAATGGCATTGAATGTTTGCCATGTATATGTGGATTGTAATCCGCCATGAATCCCCTACAGGGTGAGAAGGACGGAATATAAACACTCTAAGTAAATAAATAAGTAAATAAGCTTATGAGCAGTGTGCATAATAATTTTTAAGAGCTAAAAAACATACTTTTGTTGTTATGTTCTGGGTATGGGAGTAGATAGACAAAAGGAAGTTATCTAACTTTGGTAGAAGAGTCTCTGATGCTGACTCTCATGCCTTGCGTGTAAGGTATCTCGAAGCTGAAAAGCCTCATAGTGCTCCCTTCTCAAACAAATCATAGAATCATAGAATCCTAGAGTTGGAAGAGACATTATTATTATTATTATTATTATTATTATTATTATTATTATTTGTACCCCGCTAGCATCTCCCGAAGGACTCGATGCAGCTTACAAAGGCCAAGGCCTCAACAAAACAATAGCATAACAAATACAATTCAAAGCAAATCAAAAACATTAAAGCAATAACAGTAAAAACAACAAAACGATACACCATGACACAATAAAAACAGGGCCGGGCCAAAGTAATGGGTACAGATTAAAAAGTGCTGGGTGTGACAGGTGGTCTATCGGATTTCAAGGAAGTGCAATGTGCAGAGAATCTTAAAATTCTAAAAAGTGCTTCTGGGACTCTAATAAAGTGCTTACTGGAGTTTTCATATTCTGGAAAGGTACATCGGAACAGCCAGGTCTTCAGGCTCTTCCTAAAGACTGCCAACGTTGGGGCTTGTCTGATGTCCTTGGTGAGAGTTCCAGAGTTGGGGGGCCACCACAGAAAAGGCCCTGTCCCCCATCCCCACCAAACGCGCTTGCGACGCAGGTGGGATCGTGAGCAGGGCCTCTCCGGATGATCAAAGGGATCGTGTGGGTTCATATATGGAGATGCGGTCATGCAGGTAGGTCGGTCCCAAACCATTTAGGGCTTTGTAGGTGAGCACCTGCACCTTGAATTGGGACCGGAAGATGAACGGCAGCCAATGGAACTCCTTAAACAGGAGAATCATAGAATCAACGAGTTGGAAGAGACCTCATGGGCCATCCAGTCCAACCCCCTGCCAAGAAACAGGTATATTGCATTCAGATCACCGCTGACAGATGGCCATCCAGCCTCTGTTTAAAAACTTCCAAAGAAGGAGCCTCCAGCACGCTCCGGGGCAGAGAGTTCCACTGCTGAACGGCTCTCACAAAGGCTGACAAGACACACTGAAGCAGGCATGGGCCAACTTCGGCCATCCAGGTGTTTTGGATTTCAACTCCCACAATTCCTGTGGGAGTTGAAGTCCAAAACACCTGGAGGGCCCAAGTTGGCCCATGCCTGAGAATCTAGCAAGAGATGTGGTAAGGCTGTATGCTGGCCTTGTCTTTCCTCCTTCCTTTCCCTTTTCAAGGTGGTGCAGGTGAGGAAGAGTCAAGCAGGTGTTTGCCTTGAGTGGCACTGTGTTTTTGCACAAGGACTTGACCTTCCCAAGGACACCGAATCCACTTGCCGTTGCCCTGACCTTTCCAGAGATCGGTCGAGGGCACTCTTGACCACCAAGCCGGGCCGGTAAAGGCTTTCATTGTTTTGGGGGCTCATTAGTGAAACTTGGATCCTCCTCCGTTTAAACATCATAATCTGACCCTGAGCAAAACAAGAGAGGCGGGGAGGGAAAGGGACCCGAGTAGTTAAAAGGTGCCTAATTAGCAAGTTAATTATAGCAGGCCAGAAAATGCACCGGTTACATAAATAAGCCATTGTTATGCACATGCAAGCCAGGCCACGTTAGAAATGGTTTTTGAGGTGGTTTTTAAGGTGAGGGGCACATAAACCAAAGGAGGGAAATGGCAGGGGGTGAAGATAAGTGGCAGGGCCTCACTGAATCGTCTTGGGGGGCTTTACCTGATCAAGGGGACAAGAGAGAGAGAAAGAGAAGAGTTGGGCCAGGGGGAGGGATCCCTCCTCTTTACCTCCCTCAACCTCCCTCCCGCCTCGGCCCCATCTTCCCTCCCCGAGCAAAAGGGCTGAAACCAGAGCAGGCAGGATCTCCGATGCAGGGAGAGGGACATATAAAGGGAAGGCCTCCCTCCGGAGAAGGAGGAGGAGGAGGACGGGAAGGTGGCAGGTAGCTGGAGCGCCATGCCGAACCAAAAGAAGTACGTGGTGAATGGCGATGCAGGGACCAAAGCCCAGGTGAGGGGAGCCTCTCTGGGGGGAGCAGGAGAAGAGGGGTCTCCAAATGGTTTCCCCCATTTCTTTGGGAAACCTCTACCTTTCACCTGTCTGTCGCTCACAGCATCGAGTATGAAAAAAGTTGGCTGAGTGTGTGTTCAGGTAGACACACCTGTTGGTGGCAAAGTTTTCCTTGTATGGCAAAAGGTGTGTCTTTTGACAGGGAACAGGACAGACCTGGTTGGCATCAGCACCGTTCCTTTTGTGATGTGCACTATGGGAAACCTTGGTTGTTTGTCCGTGGAAGGTGCCACCTGGGAGTTCAGTGGAGTCCCCTTCTCTAGGGGTTTTTCAATAGAGGCTGGATGGCCATCTTCTGGGGGTGCTTTGACTGTGCTTCCTGCGTAGCAGAAAGAATGGGGTTGGACTGGATGGTCTTTGAGTTATTTGTTTATTTATTACTAGCCGCCCCCTGCCACGCTTTGTTATGGCCCACATGGGGGTTCTGTGTGGGAGGTTTGGCCCATTTCTATCATTGGTGGGGTTCAGAATGCTCTGTGATTGTAGGTGAACTATAAATCTCAGCAACTACAACTCCCAAATATCAAGATTCTATTTTTCCCAAACTCCACCAATGTTCACATTTGGGCATATTGAGTATTCGTGTAGAGCTTGGTCCAGATCTATCATTGTTTGAGTCCATAGTGATCTCTGGATGTAGGTGAACTACAACTCCAAAACCAAAGGACACTGCCCACTAAACCCTTACAGTATTTTCTGTTGGTCGTGGGAGAACTGTGTGCCAAGTTTGGTCCAATTCCATCGTTGGTGGGGTTCAGAATTCTCTTTGATTGTAGGTGAACTATAAATCCCAGCAACTACAACTCCCAAATGACAAAATCAATTTTTTTGAGTGAAGGACGTTGGGTTGTTAGGTGTCTTGTGTCCAATTTTGGTGTCAATTCGTCCAGTGGTTTTTGAGTTCTGTTAATCCCACAAACGAACATTACATTTTTATTTATATATAGATTTATATCCAGCTTTATCTCTCCATGCAGAAATTCAAAGCGGCTCACAATCAGAAATATGACAACTTAAGATATACAAATATACAATAATAAAACAGTATATCAGTATATATTATGATATACTGTATTACCACTAGTACCATATGTAATATATTAGCATTATTACATTTCAATATTATTACTATATATTACTATATTATGTTATTATTATATTGGATTACATTATAATATTATTATTAATATTATATACAGTGTTCCCTCGCTACTTCGCGGTTCACTTATTTCAGACTCGCTGTTTTGTGGTTTTCAAAAAATATTACTGTATATACTTGAGTATAAGCCTAGTTTTTTAGCCCCTTTTTTTAGGCTGAAAAAGTCCCTCTCGGTTTATACTCGAGTCAAGGTTATTTATTATTTTACTCTGTTGTTGTTATTGTTGTAGTTGTTGTTATTTTTACATTTATTATTTTACTCTATTCATTGTTATTATTATTGTCATTACACTTATTATTTTATCTGATATTATTACATTTATCATTTTAC